ATATATGACTTTCAATGGATTCATTTTAAAAGATACAGAAATATAAAATTTCTTTTAGTAACTTTTGTATATTTTCATTGCTAACACTGTAATGTGTTTACGCGCGCGAACCTCTAACTTTTTTTGAACCTAATGTGCGTAGTATTGAAAGTATGTGAGACTTTAATATATTGGTTTTTTTATGATATGTGCAAATTTATATAAAGTAGAACAAGACTCTACCATTTGTTAAAAAAATGTAAAGTCATTCGGTGATCGATACGAACAAGTAATCATTGATGTTAATTCAGATTAATTCTTTTGGAATGAGTGTAGGCGCGTGACTGGTTTTAATAGTGACATTTGTATATTTGTGACGTTTGCACCACAAATGTTTAGTTGCAAACATAAATTGCTGGAATAATGATGTTCATACAACTTAAGTGACACGTAATCTGAAATACCCTTAAAACATTCAGTTTCATTGAACTTGATAAAGTATTAGAACTTTTTGCGAGAATTTTCTTTCACGGGAACTATTTGAAACAAATGTGGACGAACGTACCGAAGCAAGAGAAAGGTAGAAATAGTAAGTGAGAGAGAGAGAGAGGTTAATTCGCTGACAGAAAAGAGTCAGAGAACGAAGGCAAGACGTAGAGGAAAAGAGAAGGCATTCAGTGCTGAAGCTTTATCTTTATTATGCGCCGCTGAGTGAATTGTCAAGTGAAATCAGAAATGGCTGCCAACGAGCAACAACGCAAGGTGAGTAGGGAGAAATACATTGTATTTTTCTCGAATTACGAATGGCTTTTTAATGTGTTCACATTAACATGGAGTTTGTAACACAGTCGAAAGATGAATTTATCGTTCTGAATGATTAAACGTGTGATTTTTTCGCGATGATTTTGAGTGAAAAAACGGGATTTACACAATATCTCGAGACCAGTTGCACTAAAAGGAACAGCAACGTCTTGACCTTAGTTCTGTGTTAATAAATATTTGACAGTAAAAGGTGCTTAAGAATGGTCAGTACAAGAACATACTGTCGTTTTACGCGGATAGGAATTTTTCAAAGAGACGTTCTATTTCATTCAAATATTTGCTAGATCATCGGTGCATAGAAAGACGTATAGATTACTATATGCAATATTTACATTTGCACAAGCAGCTGTCAGTGGACGGTCAGAAAGGTGTCATGAAAGCCAGCAAAAAATATGCAATGTGTGTCTTTCCTTGACGTTTAATTGAGATGAAATATGTTTGAAAATTTTGTTGAAAATATCGAAAATTTGTAGGAATTTGACTGGAATAGTACGATTGAGACAATCAACGCACAATAGCATTAACGAAAGTTGCTACGTATGACAAGCGACATGCCTCGCAATTTCGATGATACTTCCTCCGTAATTTTCTTTTCGATTTTTTAATCAATGATTCAACCTTCAGATATATCGAAATTAATGGAGAATTGCGACATTTACTGAATATATTCTGGACTTTGTGCAGTCGAACTAATTAGACAGAATACGAAAATTAACATATGCCTGTTATGACGGCCGATATCTGCATTTCTTTTTCAACAAGATCGACTACTACTACTACGACTACTACTACTACTAATTTTAATGGTATATTGTTGTCAATACGATTACGAGATATTTCGGGAATGTGGCCTGATGTTTCATTCTTTTGACATTGGATTCTACCAATCCAAGCATTTGTAGATCGTTCTCCCTGTTGCACCATAAATAGACGTGATTTTTTTCTTGGATTTATCATGAAATGGAATCTTTTTTTGGAAAAATTGTTTCATAGATATCGCGCAACAATCGAACGCCATTTATTTCATGTTTCACAAATGATTCTCGACAATTTATATTTGATTTTATAATATTGCACGAAATATACATATACATTTTAATACATTTACGGCACTGTTATTTCGCAATAAAGTTGACTTATCAGGATGGTAAAAATCTTAAAAAGATAAGGATTACGATTTCTATTGCATTTGTGTGTCGTTCACGTTTACATTTTCTGATTACTTGTATAACATTTCGTTAAGTATGGGGGTAGGTAGAATAGCACGTAAAGTACGAAAAGTAAAAAATGCTTTATGTAATTTATTCAATTATTTATTGCACATTTTGTAATAAAATACTCAATGAAACTTATCATGGAAATTACTGTGTTTTTTGTCACATTATCTTACATGCACAATTACTTTCTATTTTAATTGTTTAACTAAATAAACTCTTGAAAAATATATACTAGTTGTTACTTGGAATATACCTATTATTTACCAACTATTCTTCTATTGATATTTCATTAGAAAAATGTTATGAAAAAATATTTTTAATAGAAAATTGTTAATCAATTGTGAAAATGAATGTGTTCATTCGTTCATTATATCAGTACTAGTATATTCCTACATACTTTTTTATTTGTATTTGATATAAGTAATAGATTTTAATATATTACTATCACCTATGAATAAACACACAAGCATATGTGACCTTAGAAACTGTCAAGGTATGTGATTTTAAGGCTTCAGAAGTGCTGTAATATAATTGCATATTGTTATGATGGAAAGATTACTAAAAATATATGTAATTTTTAAAAATTTGTAATTGATGTTATATAATTTCTTATGATAGATAGTAAAATTGATATGAATTAAGGAGCATATCTAAGTAAACTATTATTTAACACAAAAATTTAAAAAATAAGTTTAATGCATACTTTTCAGTATTTTACTTTAAAAATGGAAAATAGTTTTTTTTTATTTGTTATTCTATATTAGTTTGAAATTATTATTTTATTTTGATCAATCTTCATTGATATGTTATATGTACTTGTGAAGATGAGCTATCTTTATTTAAAATTTATAATATTTTATTAATAATTAGGAACCACGTGAATTAAGAGAACCAGCCCACCATGCAAGAAGACCAATGAATGCATTTCTTATTTTTTGTAAACGACACCGTGGTTCAGTGCGATCTGGTTTCCCACATTTAGAAAATCGAGCTGTCACAAGGGTACTTGGGGAATGGTGGGCCACCCTTCATCCAGATCAGAAACGTTCATATACAAATCTAGCACAGGAGGTAATTAATTTGAATTATAAGGAAATTAAATATCATGCTAATAATGACACATTAATGTAATTTAATATAGTCCATTGTTATTCCTATAAGCTTACTGTTACTTTTAGTTTTGTGTAAATTCTTATTGATAGCCAAATTTATATTTTTAAACTCCTTTTCCTTTTAAAATTGACTTTAAAGAAATCAATTCCATTTTAATTCATTTTTAGTACAAAGATGCATTCTTAAATGCAAATCCTGATTTCAAATGGTACAAATTACCAGCACCCCCTTTACGTACTTTAAATACAAGGCCTACAAATAAAAAGGCAGAAACAAGTTCTGGTGAACAACCAGTAGAAAATGAGAACAAGTCTTCCAATTATTCAAAATCTGACAAAAAAGATGGACAATCAATACAACCAGGCAAGTTAGCTGATGAATCCCAAATTGGTGGACTCAGTTCTTTATTTACACCTCAAAAAACACAAACAGCAGATGAGGAAGTGACTATTAATGGTTCTGTGATTGAAAATGATACAGAAGTTCCAAAACCTCCTAAGAAAAGATATTTAGATGTACCTTTTTCACCTGATCTTAAGAGAGAGTGTAAAGCAGATCTTTTTGATGCAAAAAAAAGGAAAAAATCTGAATCAAACAATAATGAACATGAATATGTAAGAGACTGAAACAAAATTTTTTAATTAAATAATTATGTACTTATTTTGTTTTTTAATCTGTTACATTCTTAATATTAACCATTACATATTTACTTATAGAATGATGAAGATGAGAAAACAGAAGTAAATAATTTTTTAACTGCAAATATGCCATTAGAGGAAAGTAATTTTAGAAGTGAACGAACATGCAAAGGTCTACGTTACCAAAAGTTCCTTGCTGAACAAATGAAAAATGTTGGTGCATCTGGACAACAACCTAAGCGAAGAAGACAAACTGGAAATCGTAGGTAAATAATTATAATATTTCGTTAAACTCATTGAATCATATTACATATAAAATGTGAATCCATCATTCATGTGTTTTAATTGATGTTTCTGCTAGCTTTGATGGACAAGCAAGTGAAAGACGAAATTCCATTTCTTCGAATGTCAGTGAAAAAACAGATTCTTTGAGTAGTGAAGGTGGAAATAGTTCTCGTAGTGAACTAGAACACCTTGCTGAAAGGTAATTAAAATTCTGTTTTTTAATAATTTGTATTATTTATTATATGTATGTACAAACAAAAATAAGTAATGTAAATGTTGTATAAAGTGCTGAAGGAAATATAGAAGCATCAAAACCAGAAGAAACAGAAACTGAAGATGCAGAAGGGCAAGTAGATTTTGGACCTTGGACTGCACGAAAAAGGTTTAGAGCTGAGTAAGTTTAATATTATTTTACATTATGTGACAAGAAATTGTAATATCTACTATATGGTAAAAGTACATTATTTTGATGTGTTCATATATTTTCTTGTGTAGGGACTTTAATTTAGAAAAGAAAATTGAGGCATTGCCATCTTTAAGTTTAGAAGAATTTCAGGAAAAGAAGAAGCAACAACGTACGAAAAAGAAAAAAGTTGTTCAAAAATTAACGTCACCTTCGAATAATAAAAGACATCAGAATAATTTTAATACCAATGGTCAAGAAAATAGTCAAAACAACCGTAAACTACCGCAAACAGAACATGAAAATTCAGAAGATGCTGAAAAACTTCTTGTTGGTAGTCAAAAAAGAAAAGCACGAAAACAAAGCATTACACGTAATGTAGCAGCTGTAAATGGTTCTAAACATCATCTTACTTGTTAGTATTTCATATGAACGTTACACAGATTTTTTTTCAATAAGTTCTAAATTCAAATGCAATTATTTGTATAACTAAGAATTAATGGAAATTTAGGTAATTTATTAATGAAGTCACATTTATATATTTTTTATGCTTTCATTCGTAACGTTAAAGGAAAGAAAAATGATAAAGTGTTTATTATTAAACTCAATTCAGTTAATTAAAGTATTAACTTACATTGTAAATTATGAATAACAAAATATGTTCGTGTTTCTATTTGTGAAATGTTCATATGTATTTGAGTCCTACAATTTGTGAATAGTTTCAATTAAAAATATGTAAACATTTGAAAGTTATTAAAATTTTGTTTTCGTATTTAATATATATTACAAATTTCAATTATTTAAATGAATTAAATTTTACAAATTTAATTAATTCTACAAACACTAATAGCATGGTGTGCGACGCCGGATTTAGAAGCACTGGCATGTCTTGCAGCAGTTGCCGCCAACAGAACAAAGCTTACCAAAAATAATACATAAGAGATATATTTTTCGATATTTAGCAGTCGTTCGCGGCATAAATTTGTACTAAGTAAACCAAAATTTTACTGATTTATTTCTTATTACAATTTCTTGTTAGCTGATTTATTGAAATAATTGCTTTGATTGCTGTTAAAAAATAACGTTTCCAATTCATAAAAAATGTATTACATTATACTTGTTAATATCTATCGTCGTTAATCGCTGTTAATATGAATATTAATACTATGACTGCTATAATTATTTTATCACTGAATATGTCAAAATGTTTCTTTTATGTTGCATAAATGTCCCACAAATATGGTTAATGAAAGGTACTTTCTTGTATAGTTCGTTAACAAATAATCTTGTTACTATTGCATACTAAAGAAAGATTCTAGTTTTCACTTTGCGTTGTGTGTAATTATTAAAATGTTATATCAATCATTCTATACTTGTTAATAAATACCTGCAGTGCAGATAACAGCCATTTTAACTAACTTGGAACAAAAATGCCCGCATATCGATATTCATTGGGAAATTTGTGCAACTTCCAACAAAGGATGTATTATAGTCATATAGGACCTGATTAGATAAATATTTCATTGAAGGAAAGGAGAGGTGTATGCAATAAGGGAGTGTTAGTGAGTGTATATTATACAATGATGTTGGAAAAGCAAGGATTTGATCTTGCAAATTAATTTTCTAATATAAAATGTTATAAGTACGATCAAGGAGGAATGGTAACAAAGTCGTAAACTTTAACAAAACCGATGAGCAGGGCATTTTATCATATCTATGTGTAGTAACGATAAAACCTAATAATTGCAAAGTCATTTGTTACTATTTTTGTTATTATCGGCGTATGTTTTATCAATATTTCATTATGTTCTGTAAACATTTTATGTACATAGAAATAGGTGCAGTATTATAAAAGATATCCTTCATGATCTGAATATCAAAAAAGGATATAATCAAAATATACGTGTATATATATGTATATGTATATATGCATCTGCGATTTTTATATATATACATATATAACATACGTACATACGCAATATACATGTGCACACACATGTTAGACTATATGCATACGCGCGAACGTGTAAATAAACGTAATACCGTCACGTATGCAAAATGAAATTTGCAGATTTTATTGTTAACGAATGTTTCGTATCAAAAAGTGAATGTGCACACGTATGTAAGTAACTCGACAATACTATATATATGTATATATATGTATATATGTACATGTATATATACATGCATATATACATATATACATGTATATGTATGTACATGCATATATACATATATACATATATATACATATGTATATGAATGTATATTTAACATATTTATATAATGACTATTTTAGCATTAAGACCATGAAAAATGCAATTCTGTACTCTGTTTGAGAAAGTAAGAGACTTGTCTGTGATTTTGGCTAAAGAAGTTTTTAGTATTTTATATTTTTCTATTGATTTTCTCTCCTTTTCTTTCTCACTTTTTTAATTTCATTGAAGTCTAACTCCAGACATTATTAGTGAAATGATAGGAACAACTAATGTTAGTAAATTTCTCTGTAATATGGAAGTGAGTATACTGATTATATTTCAAATGTGCCTTGAAGAGATATGAACATAGGTATTAAACAATGACCAACAATATATTTTCGATTCGTTTCGTAATCCTAAATGTTTTGGCTTTTACATTTATACCTTCCACATATTCTAGTTGTGGTTACGGTACATAATTATAACGAGGCTTTTACGGTCAACGTCCGAATATTTGGAATTATAAAGCAAAAAAACCAAGATAAAGCGTTTCGAATTTTACTGCACAAAGATCTATGTACCTAGCTTTAAAAATATAATTTACACGAAACATATATGTACGTGTATACGTAGATACATAACGCATACATACATACACACAAACACACACACACACACGCATACACACACTTGTAATATATTGTATACCGTTTATATGAATAATAAAGATATAATATTTTGATGTAATTTTAAACTTGTTTGCTACATATATCAATAATATGAACATATTATGGTTTATCTTAAAAAATATAATGATTTTATTCTTAAAAATTAATATTCCTTATTTTATGATTTCATATTTAAAGTAATTTTCGGAATTGTCAGTTAATAGTATTTTACAAATAATATTAGCTATTTGTATAGATATATATAGCAAGCCATAATGCACGTCAACAGTTAAGGTATTAATCATACAAGTATTTCAGAAATAATGTATTCATAGCATATTTTTCATTTTACAATAGTACATTCTGATGTTATATTTGTTCTGTTTCTGTCCGTATACATATTTCATTTTAAAATTCTATGTGATTTTAAATATGAAGGTTATAACATCCTTCTGCTTTGCAATTTGTATTTTACGATTTAGTGTGCATATTTTTTTCTTTTCAACATCCTTGAAAGTAATCAATTTTATCGTATTGCTAACGATATATGTATACATATATATATTCTATAAATATACGTGAAATAATTAAGTAACATTACGTCAAAGTTATTTTTTGATTATTTATAGATATCTACGTATATTTAACAAATATAAAATGATTTCTGTTTCAACATAACATTAACTTGATTTTTTTTTTAATATTTTGTAATTACAAAAATATGTGCATTACATTTGAGGAAACGTTCACTATTCAGTGATTTTTTATTTTTTATGACTTGATTTTTAAATTGTTTACTGCTTATGTTTTTAACATTCATAAGAGTATAAATGAAAAGATTTATTCTAACACTATTTAACCACAATTTTTTTAATTTACTGGTGTTCGTATGACTGTCGTTAATGTCGCTTTCATCGAAATATATGCATTCAATATTTCCACAGAGGTTGTACATCTAGAAATGAAAAATCTGTGAATCATGATTAAAATTGCTTGACAAATTTAAGCGTTCGTGTGCCATTGTTCTGTGGTGCATGTATCGCGCTGTAGTGACAGCTACGTCAAATTACATGACTTGCTCATTCGCAAAGAGCCGAAGCAGATCGTTTAATTTATCAGTCGTTTCTATTCTACGGTAGACATTTGGAAAGCACATTTACTATATTTCAATATGGGCGTAATTTTCTTGGAACACATTGGAGGTACTCGTTTATTCTCTTGCGCTTCCTGTGACACCAATCTTACAAACAGAGGTCAGCTGATAAGTACGCGTTTTACGGGAGCTACTGGCCGTGCTTTTCTCTTTAACAAAGTCGTCAACTTAAATTACAGGTATTCGCGTTTTTCCTTTGTTCTTTAAAATAATCTAATATTAATCAACGTAATGTATAGTAAGCTTTCGCTTATGCTTTTACGTTTAAAAAGTTGTTACGATTGACAAACACAGATGACTGTGTTAGGTGCAATGTTATTATTTTCATATATCTAAGATAATGGAAAAAATAGTTGCGTTGAAACTAAAATGCAGATTATCAGTTAGAAGAAATGTATTTTGTAAATAAAAATATAGGAAAAATAAAGTTATTGTAAGCTTTTTCAAAATTAATTACAAGCATACAACATGGCGGTATTTTTATTTTGATACGTCTCGTATTTGTGTATATCAATGTTAATGTAATTAAACATTCGAAGCCTCTGTCATGTTAAGAAAGTTTTATAACTTTATACAAAAGTAGTTTTTCTTTTATTAACATTTTGAGAGTTTTCTGATTTTTAGGTTTTGTTGTTTTGTTGAATATATGTTACTCTTAGGTATATGATTTTCCTATTCATACGTATTTAGCTTTTTAACACTATTCAGCACACAGGATACCATTCATAAGTGTACAAAATCTCAGAGAAATTGTACTAATGGAATAATCTTATATAATTTTTATCCATTCCTAATTTAATTTGTCTACAATGATACACAGCGAGGTACAGGATAGAGTGATGTTGACTGGCCGTCACATGGTTCGAGATGTCAGCTGCAAAAACTGTGATGCTAAACTTGGGTGGGTGTATGAGTTTGCAACAGACGATAATCAACGGTACAAGGAAGGCAGAGTCATCCTGGAACGTGCTTTAGTCACAGAAAGCGATGGAATGAGCGACAATATTTAATACCTTACAACAATCAGCATGTCATAGTATAAGAACATTTTATAATCAGCATAAAATCTGTTGTTTTCTTTCTCAGTGTTCCTTCATCATTTGGAGTAATTGAAAAAATTGTTCTATGAGTGTATGACAATTTATATTTAGTACTCAATATTTTTGTAAATATCAAACATACTTTACCTTATGGTATTATATATTTCTAATGATCTATTTTCTTTTTTTTAATTATTTTTCATTTAAATGTGTATATTAATCTGTCTAATTTGAAATAAAAATTAAGTCTATTACATTGTTAGTATTTTTTATATTATATAATTATTAT